GGGGTGGCGCCGCGGGGGGGCAAGCCGCGAGGGGAAGGGGCCCGTCCAGTGGCGGCGTCGCATCTCGCGAGCTGGAGGCGGGCAAACCCGCAAGTGTCTTCGTAGATGAAGACGTCGCCGTAGACGTAGTCGCTTTCCTCTCAGTGCCAGGTGGGGTGGGCCTCTGCCACCTGTCGATGGCGTCCGGCTCGCAGGCGGGGCCTGCGCCGCACTTGAGGTCATCCTCCATGAACTTGTGCTCCGCAGTCGAGTACATGCAGTCCAGGGCCCGCAGGATGTGACCACGATTGTGCACTGCGCCCCGCCCGCGCAGGCGTCCCCGCCGAGCGCGCCCGCGCCGCTGGGCGCTGCACTCGAGGGCCGCCTCAAAACCGTCGGATCTTCGGCCCGACGTTGTCGTGCCTGTGTTAAAAGCTCGACTGGTCTTTGTCGTCGCCCACGGGGGCCGCCGCCGCCTTGCTGGCCGCGCCACCGCGGCCGCCCTTGGGTGCGCGCCCCTTGCCAGCCGCAGCCTTGCTGGCCGCGGCGGCAGCCAGGCGCTGGCGGCCCGCCTCCAGCACCTCCGCCGCCACGGCCCCCGCGCCTGCGGCCCCTGCAGCGGCGGCAGGAGCAGCGGGTGGAGCCGCCTGCGAAGCCTCGGCGGGGGCCCCCTGCTGGCCGCCAGCGGCGGCGGCGGCGGCAGGGGGCGCCGCGGCGGGGGCCGCTGCTGCAGCCGCGGGCGCCGCCGCTCCCTCAGCCGCTGGCTGCCCCGCTGCAGGTGCCGCCTCCTGCTGCGGGGGGGCCGAGGTGCGCCTCTTCTTGGACTTGAGGCGCCCCCGCAGCTCACGGTGTACCTTCTCCAGCTTTCGGCTTCGGCCTTGAACTGACCGAAGGCCTCCTGCGCCATGGCCGCGAACCGCGTCTGCAGCTCCTCGCGGCGCCGCTGGGCCTTCTGGCGGTCGCTCTCCTCGACCTCGTAGTCCTCCAGGGACTCCAAGCCGAAGAGCCTTTCGTCGTCCAACGTCCACGCCGCCTTGCCAGCGAGGATCGCCGTGACGCTGTGCTCGGGCACGTCATCCTCGCGCGCAGGCGCCGCCGCTGGGGCAACTGTGCCCGCCAGGGCCTGCGCCGCGCTCGCGTGCACCGCCTGCGCGCTCGCGTCGGGCTCCAGGGCCTGGGCCACGTCCACGATGCGGACTCCCTGGCTGCCGCTGCGCTGGCGGCCTGCCGCCTCTGTGACCAGAGCGGCTGGCCGCCCGCGCGGCGCGCCGCCGCGCCCGCCGACGGCATCCTGGCGCCAGGGCGGCTCGTGGGCGCCGCTGCGATCCCTGCTGGTGGATCGGCGGCGGCCAGCAGCACCGCGAGCAGCAGCAACCTGCGCAGGCACCAGCTGCAGCGGGTGCCTGCAGTGGCAGCACCATGTCCACCATGCCTCATTCTTCCGGCACCCACAGTGGGCGCACGCGTGGCCGCCGCGGCCGCTGGCGGCGCCGCTTGCGGTCGCCATGCCGCCCCCGCCGTCGCTCGCCTGGCGCGCGGGGGCCGGCGCCGCCGAGCCGTAATAGCCGTCCAGAAGCGCCGCGGCGGCCACCAGGCGGCCGCGCAGGCGGGGGGATGGCGAGCTCCGCCACGCGCGCAGCAGCGCCCTGGCCGCGGCGCGCTCGCTACGGAGGCGCCGATGCCACGCCGCCTCGGAGGGCAGCGCGATGGTCCCCGTCCGAAGGGAGCCCGCGGCGGCCTGTCCGCCCCAAGGCCCTCGGGCAAAACTGGAGGAGGAGGAGGAGAAGCAGAAGGAGAAGGAGAAGAAGGAGGAGGAGGAGAAGGAGGAGGAGGAGGAGGAGGAGGAGGAGAAGGAGGAGGAGGAGGAAGGGGAGGGGGAGGGGGAGGGGAGGAGGAGGAGGAGGAGGAGGAGGAGGAGGAGGAGGAGGAGGAGGAGGAGGAAGGAGGAGGAGGAGGAGGAGGGAGGAGGAGGAGGCGGAGGAGGAGGAGGACGAGGAGGGGAGGAGGAGGAGGAGGAGGAGAGAGGAGGAGGAGGAGGAGGAGGAGGAGGAGGAGGAGGAGGAAGATGAGGAGGAGGAGGAGGAGGAGGAGGAGGAGGAGGAGGGGGATGGGGGAGGGGGAGGGGGAGGAGGAGGAGGAGGGAGGAGGAGGAGGAGGAGGAGGAGGAGGACGAGGAGGAGGAGAGGAGGAGGAGGAGGAGGAGGAGGAGGAGGAGGAGGAGGAGGAGGAGGAGGAGGAGGAGGAAGAGAGGGAGGAGGAGGAGGAGGAGGAGGAGGAGGAGGAGGAGGGAGGAGGAGGAGGAGGAGGAGGAGGAGGAGGAGGAGGGGGGGGAGGAGGAGGAGGAGGAGGAGGAGGAGGAGGAGGAGGAGGAGGAGGAGAAGGAGGAGGAGGAGGAGGAGGAGGAGGAGGAGGAGGAGGAGGAGGAGGAGGAGGAGGAGGAGGAGGAGGAGGAGGAGGAGAAGGAGGAGGAGGAGGAGGAGGAGGAGGAGGAGGCGGAGGAGAGGAGGAGGAGGAGGAGGAGGAGGAGGAGGAGGAGGAGGAGGAGGACCACTGTAAACTCAACAGTCATCAACGATGTTGTAATACACCCTCCCTCCAAACTCCCTGTTCATAGGCCCCATACAAGGGTTCATTTCCATTGAGGGAACTGCCTCGTTCGACAACAACTGTTTGAAGACTCTCAAGCATGCCAACAAAAATGCGTTCGGGATTCCAACGCCACGGATGAACCTGACTGTTGCATCTTGACGATCCTGAATCGCGCCAGAGCGCCATTCCAGGGACATCAACACAACGAATCAAAGTAACGGTTAAACCCGCAAAACCCTGAATCCTCTTCAAAACGCCATATTTGGTACCTTGATGGTGGGAATCCGTGAATATCTTGCAAATTTGGTCAACGAATGTGCGCGGCGCTAAAGCGGGAGGCGCATTTTGAAAACCACTTGCCCTCAATCCGTGAAACTCCTGCAACAATTTATTATGAATGTGCGCCGCGCTGTGGCGAGAAACACATTTTGAAAAGGAGCCGCCGTTAATCCGTGAATCTCTTGGAAATCTTTAAAAATAATGTGCGCCGCGCTGAAGCGAGAGCCACATTTTGAAAACAACCTGCCTTCAATCCATGAAACTCTGGCAGATCTTTAAAATCAATGTGCGCCGCGCCAAGGCGAGAGCCACATGTTGAGAACCACCCGCCCTCCATCTGTGAAGCTGTTGTTAATCTCTGAGCTTCGGAATCGCAGATGGTGACGAGGTCTCAAGCGAAACGACCGGACAGCTCTAAAAACAGGCCTCGGGGTGCGACCGGGAAAAGTTATCGATAATGAAAAAGAATGGAGGAGAGGAGGAGGAGGAGGACGAGGAGGAGGAGGAGGAGGAGGACGAGGAGGAGGACGAGGAGGAGGACGAGGAGGAGGAGGAGGAGGAGGAGAAGGAGGAGGAGGAGGAGGAGGAGGGGGAGGAGGACAAGCTAGGTGCGCTCGCGTCATATCTGACATCCTACCCCTCCCTCCCATTCCTTACCATGGCGCAGATCCCTTCTCTACTCGCTTAGTCGGATGTGGAGCAGGGCAATGATCCCGAAAGGGTACGCGATGCATTGTAAAGCACGGCATGGCGTGGCGTAGAAAAGCACCGCAAAGCGTGGTATCAACCTAGCATTGCATTGCATGCCGTGGCATGGCACGGGAAATGACGCCAGCGCTGCAGCGGGAGCACGAGTCGAAACGAGCGGAAGCGCGGAAATGAGGCCAGCGCTGCAGCGGGAGCAACGATTCGGAACGAGCGGAAGCACGAAAATGAGGCCAGCGCTGCAGCGGGAGCACGATTCGGAACGAGCGGGGCCCGAAAATGAGGCCGGCGCCTCAGCGAGAGCAGCATTTTGGAAGCAAATGCAGGCGAAAACCCGTACGCGGGGGGGGGGTCGGACACTCCCAGGCCGTCATCACGGGAAGAGGGAGAGTAATATTCATATTGAGTAATTGTGGAGGAGGGGGAGGAGGAGGAGGAGGAGGAGGAGGAGGAGAGAGGAGGAGGAGGAGGAGGAGGGGGAGGAGGAGAGGAGGAGGAGGAGGAGGATGGGGGAGGGGGGGATGCTGCGTCGACCACGACAGCACAGCCATCAGCGCCCACCGCCCAGGAGGAGGAGGAAGAGGAAGAGGAGGAGGAGAAGGAGGACCTCCTAAACGGAACTCCGATGACAACGGGGGCACGAGCGCGCCCGTGGAGAACGGTGGCCGTGGGTCGTGGGACTCTCCGCTCCTCGCTCGTCCGGGGACGGCCTCTCGGAGTCCTCTGGCTCGCAGTGCCCTAGTCAGGGGGCGCCCTGGGCTCAGCGGGCTTCCTGCCCGCGCGCAGGTCTCGAGTGGGCCCCTGCGGGGCAACGCGGCCGAGGACCCCGAGCGCACACCTGGCGGCGCGCACAACGAGGGGGCGGGTCGAGGGGGCCGCCTCGCACGAGTGCGGCAGAGGGGGGCTCGGTGGAAAATAACAACTCTGTGGACAACAGTACACACGGTACGTGGAAATAAATGTGGAACACACACACAGACACAAAGACAAACAGACACACACAGACACACAGACAGAGACACATCCACGCAGATACACAGACACACACAGACACACAGACCAGACACACACACACACACACCCACACGCACACACGCGCACACACATACGCACACAGGCGCACACACACGCAGGCGCAGGCACACATTCACACGCACACGCACACATAGCGACGCCCATGCGCACGACAACAGAAACATAAGCCACAAATCTTGGAAGGCAGCGGGAGCTGGCGAGCCCCACCGCCACCCCGTCAAGGCTTGTTGTCGCGGCGCCGGCGAGCGTCTGGCGCGGTCGGAGCCTCAACGGAGCGCGAAGAGGCGAATTCACACAGGAGGAGCGGGCAAAGCGGAGGGCGGCCACCTGCCACCCCTCAGACAGGGCAGCTCCCCCTGTCAGCGACACGCCAGGGCGTCTAGACGAAGCTCCTCCTCATGGCGGCAACGCGCCTTTGCCAAGTGCCTGGCGAGCAGGTTGAGGTACTTTACGCCGCCGAGGGTGGTACCGTGCACGACCTTGAACTCCAGCTTCCCGAATGTCATCCAGCCCTCGCTGACCTGTGCCGAAGGGAAAGTGTGGGCGAGGGGAAGGAAGGAAGAGAAGGTGGGGGGAAGGATGGGGGGAAGGGATGACATGGCTAGCAGAAGGAACAAACACATAATCAAACACTTTTAGAGGTCCGCGCGGTTTTCTTGGATCTGCGCTGCACCCCCTGGCGGTGCTTCCGGCGCCGCCTAAGGGAGGGCGGTCCAGCGCCGGTTCAAGGAATCCGCGCGAACCTCCGACCCTTTGTTTACGCTGTCTGATCTCCTTCGGGAGATGCGAGGGTGGGGAGAAACGATAACAATCGGGAGCGGCCAAGAGGGGGGTGTCCAAGAGGGGGGGGTGCAAATCATGGCTGGCGGCATGTGCGCGGCCCAGCGGGGGGGCCAGGGACGTAATGAAACAAGAAGCGGCGCCATGAAATTTGGGGAAATATCATGGCCCACGCCATGATGTCCACCCCCCTCCCTGGTCATCACCCCCCTCTTTGCCGCCCCCGGGGCGTTCCCCCCTCATCCCTCCTTCCCTTCCTCTCGGCCCGGGGCGGCCGAGCAGCGCCCCGCTCGCTCACACCCTGGGGGGGGGGGAGGAGGAGGAGGAGGAGGAGGAGAGGAGGAAGAGGAGGGAGGAGGAGAGGAGGAGGAGGGGGAGGAGGAGGAGGAGGAGGAGGAGGAGGAGGAGCAGGAGGAGGAGGAGAGGGCGAGGAGGGAGGAGGAGGAGGGAGGAGGAGCGCGGAGAGAGGAGGAGGAGGCCTGGGGGGGGGGGAGGATCGACAGGTCCCAGGAGTGCGGCCCTCGCCATCTCTCGGCCCTGCCCCCTCTCGGCCTGCCCCCTCTCGGCCTCCCTCTCCCTCTTCCTGCTCTTCCCTCCTCTTCCTCCCCCCCCAGCCCGCCCCCTCTCAGGGGCAACGATGGGGGGGGCATAGTCTCAGGGGGGACCCATCGACACCCAATCGCCAGTTTGTCGCCGATAGGGGCCTGATAGGCCGATTCCAGCTCGATGTTTCGCCCTTTGAGCCAGTCACCCTTATCTGATGATGATGATGATGATGATGATGATGATGATGATGATGATGATGATGATGATGATGATGATGGTGATGGTGATGATGATGATGATGATGATGAGGATGATGATGATGCTGATGCTGGTGCTGGTGCTGATGTTGATACTGCTGATGCTGATGCTGATGGTGGTGCTGATGCTGATGCTGATGCTGATGCGGGTGCTGATGATGATGATGATGATGATGATGGTGATGGTGATGGTGATGAGGATGATGAGGATGATGAGGATGATGAGGATGAAGTGGGGGGGCTCCTTGTAATGTTCCTTTTTTCTTCCTCTCCAGCGCAACCAGGTTTGGAGAGGGGGGAAGGAGGGCAGAGGGGAGGACACGAACCCGCGACTGGCTCGGGGGGGAGGGGACCGGCTCGGGGGGGGGGAGGGCACCGAGCTCGAGTCGGAGATGCCTCGCCGAGGGCTCGGCGATGGGGCCCCACGCTCCCACACTTCCTCCCCCATCCTCCTCCTCCTCCTCCTCCTCCTCCTCCTCCGCCTCCGCCTCCTCCTGCTCTTCGTTCTCCTCTCTCCTCCTCCTCCTCCTCCCCCTCCTCCTCCTCCTCCTGCAAAACCCCGAGGAGGGTTCTGCACGGGAGCCCGGTGACAGCGATGACGATCGGTCACCTTTTTTACTCCCGCACGGCGAAGCGAGTCTCGGTGGCTTCAGCCGTTAAACACTTGAGCCAAAGGTAACAGGGTCATCCTTCCTCCCCAGTCACCTGAACGCTTACATGTTAACACCCCCCCTCGGACGCTAGTCCGTATAGGTTGACGGGGAGGCGTCTACAAACGCAAAAACAGGTTAAACTATGCAAAACGTTGCACGCAAATCATCATATTGCTGAATTCGAAATGTCTCGTGACTGCGTTTACGAGCACCGAGTTTCTCACACATGTAACCTGAGCTCGAGTAAACGCTTTTACTGTCACAAGTTCAAACGAAGCATCTAAAGTTGACACAGCAGGCTAGCATTTGGATGATTTTGATTGCTTTCGCTTTTTATTCGCCAATACCTGCGGTAACAACAAGAGATGCGCATGCAAACAAACTCAGATCAACAAGCTACCGCCGCTCGATCGTTAAGCCAAGTTAAGAGGGGAGATGAGGAAGAGCGTAAACTGCAGCATGCTGACTGCCCGCCGTCTTTCACGAACGGCGCGGGCGCCTCGCCGACGGGGCTCGTGAACCCCTCGACCTCGGTAACCCGCGGTGTCCCACACTGGCTGCGGTGTAGGGCGACACCCTGTTAAGGGCCTGCATCGGGCTGTAGTAGTCGGTGTCCAGGTACGCGTTAATGCGCTCATCGTCGTCAAGCCAGCACCCCTCATCGTAGCTCTTAGATTGTCACGGAGGTGCTCATCGACCGCAGCGCCGGTAAACGGGTTCACAGTCCAGGCCGGATCGGTGAGCCAGTTGGGGAAGTCGTCGCACGGTAACCAGCCAAACCAGCAAAGCTTCTCACGGTGATCGCTTTTACGCTCGGTGACATGATCGGCAGGCCAACTATCACGGTAAAGTGCCCTCATGGATCCCTGATCGTTAAGGGCAACATCCAAGATGGTCTGGTGCCAGTAGATTGGAGGCTTGTTAATACTGCCCTTTAACTCCTCGGTGCTCCTGACCTCGAGGTCGTCGATGAAGTAGTTACGGTAATGCACCTGGCGTCCGTTCATGTAACGGCAGTAAAGCTTGGCGAGATCGGGCGTCGCAAAGCGAATCACGGTAACTCCAGTCGAGATGTAACCGTGCGGCCCATGGGTGTCCTCCACCAGGTGCTTGACGGAGATCGCGGTGGGGTTGCCGTGGGGCAGCATTCCTGCCCACGTTAAGAGGAGACCGTTAAGCTGCTTCTCGTTCATCTCCGGCACCTTGTTGACGTACACCTGCGTGTCCGGGCAACTGCGGAGCTCAAACCACGATGGGTGAAGCTCGTCAACGTGGAGTGGTGGCACGTACTCATCGTCAAATAGGGACTGTACGTGCCCAACCGCGTCAACCCATTCATCATGCTTGGTCAACTCTTTCTCCGTTAACTGAGATCTCCAGCTGCTCGGACCTTTCACCACGGCATACCCGATGAAACCGTAAGCATGTTGGCCAAAGATGTCAACGAACACGTCATCGTAATCGTTAAGCTCCCGCCCTGTGTTGCCCTGAATAGACCTGCCGCCAGGGGTCGTTAACCCCGCCTTCGCCACGTGCCCGACGAAGTTACCCTCAAACCTGCGCCAGTTGTCACGTGTCTTCATCGTTGAGGCTACCACTTCCCTGGGGTCAGGTTCCGCCCGATAGTTAACGTCGTATTCGTCGCTCCTGTCGTTCAGCATGGGCATGCGACCGTTGACGTGGCACAGCGGGCGGTACACCGCCTTGGCGACGGTCCTGGATCATCCCGCAAGCTGATCATTCGCGCGGTTAACGACTTGAGGCTGCGGTGGCGGGATGTGCTGGATCGGTAACCTCTTGGGCTCTGGAGGCGGGGGCTTCACGCCGCTAGCGCTGCTTGCCGCTCTGGACTCGCCGAGCCCCGGAGGGGGCGGCTTGGCCGGCCTCGCGTTTACGGCGGGAGCAGGATCCTTTGGCACCTCATCACGTTGACCACCAACCGTTCGATCCTCGTCCATATTCATGCCTATCTGCATCAACTCCTCCAGCTCCCGTTTACGCTCATGCATGGCCTTCGGCGCCCGCTTGTAAACAGGCTGTGGCTCTTCACCGCCCGGCCGGCTCAACGGTGACGGTCGGATCCTGTTCGGTGACGCGGACCGTCGACTCCCCCCGGCTTTAGTGGCTGCGCCGGCCAGGTCCTGAGTCGGGGGAGCCTTGCCTGATGGAGCCACGTTAACCTGCTGCACTGGGGGCGCGCCCGTGGCCATGGGCCCGACTGCCGCGGTGACGGCAACGGGCGGCGCCTTGGCGGGTGCTGCCGTCGGGGGCAACTCAGGTAACGGCGGCGGCACCTGTGGGGGAATGGTAACCGAGGAGTTGATCGGGTCGTCCAAGAACCTCTGCAAACCCTCAAGCCTCTCGGTAACTCCCACTAGCATACGTAGTGCCGCATCACGTTTACCTTCGAAGTCCTGCAGAGGCGTGATGTTCTCGGTAAGGCGCCTGGCGGCATTCAAGAGGCAACCGATATTTTCGTTAATGCGCCTGTACTTGGTCGCATTCTCCGCCGTGTTAGCCTCCGAGTCGCGATTCTTGATGTTCAACTCTGTAACCGTTGCCACAAGGGTGTTAACCTCGTCCTGCGCCCTCTTGAGGTTTTCGTTGACGTCGTCACTTGCGTGAACCAACGCGGTGTTCTGCTGCGTTAAGTCAACGATCCTCCGCGCCATGTCATCGGCGACCCTCTGCATCTCGTCAACGTGCTTATCATAGGCCCCGTGAAAGTTAATGGCCATGTTGGTGAGGGTCATGGTAAACGCATGGGCCACTTTGACGATATCGTCGACACGGCGATTGAGGTTCTCACGCGTAACCGGTCCTGCCCCAGGCGGGCTCTGGTCGACCACAGCGCCGTTGATCGCGACGTTGACTTGGTTGTCCGCCATGCTTTCGTTCACGCTCGAGGGAAAGAGGTAAAGGATGGAGGAAGCCTTAATCGAGACTGCTTGCTTGACAGAAATGAGCTGCGGATGTCAACACTCGGTGGCCGGCGCAAGGCTATGCCGACCTGTTAATGCACATTGGTTTGTGTTTAGTAGATGTGTGCTCATGCTCTCACGACTGACATACTTGGTTAATGCATCTGCTGCGTTCTCATGTGCGCCTACTTTCGCAATTCGAATCACTCCCTCCTTTACCTTCTGCTGCAGCCACAGTTGACATACTTCAATGTGTTTCACTTTTCCTAAACCTCGTCTGCTCGCAATTGCGATTGCAGCCGTGGCATCACTTTTCAAGGTGGTCTCAACTTCCAAGTTAAAATCCCTCAACACGGCCTGAAGT